TATAGATATATATATATATAGAGGTATAAATAGGTGCGTGTGTGTGTATATATATATACAGGTGTATGTGTATATGTATATATATATATACACATATATATATATATGTGTGTGTATAATGTATGTATATATAATGTATGTATACCCCTTGCCAAACCTTGTTTCAGGCCTCAATCCCCTAACTACACCTTGGAGAAACCACACAAGACCCAATGCCATAAACCCTGAACCCAAACCCATAAAGACACCAAGCACCCCGCTGCAGAAGGGCAAGCCCCGTATAGACCCTCTAAAGAATATTTCCCGCCGCTAACCCCGAAGGTTTCCCGACCGGTTCGGATTGTGCTCCGGCTCGAAGCTCCAAGCGTGAGAGAACCTTGGCAAAGCAGCAGGAGCAGCTGCAGGTGCAGGTGCAGGTGCGGGAGCAGGAGCAGGAGCAAGCGCAGTGGTTGCCCTTACCATTCCTGTTCCCATTCCATTCCCATGGCGATTACTCGTCCTATCACTAAAGTTTCGAAGACGAATTACAGCCCCCCTTGGCAGGGTCCCGGCTCCCACCCTTCCGAAAGCAGCTCAACGTAGGGCTTCCTGCGATCGGAGTACGCCGAGGAGATGCAGGAGGGCCGTTCAGAAGGGATTTGGGTGTTGCATGCTCAAAAGTCTTATGTAGGGTTTAAGAGTTTTTGGAATTTTTGCCTTTTTAGGATATTAAGCGTGCAGGATTTTAGGATTTTAAGGCTTGGGGGCTATAGGGTATAAGAGGGTATTGGGATTCCAAAGGTTGTGTTTGCAGGGAGCCGTGACTGATCTTGAAACCCCGGCCCGAACAAACACTCCTGGAAAAAAGAAACTAGAACACTAATGCCAAACCAAAGAGAACCAGGGACGACGGTCAAGGCTTGAAGGACCCTAGACCCCAAACAGCATGTGCCTCCCGCTCGGCAGCGACGACGGCACCGTGCATATACCACTACGCCACTTCACCTACTCCTACTACTACTACTACTACTCCTCCTCCTCCTCCTACTCTTACTCCTACTCCTACTCCTACTCCTACTCCTCCTCCTCCTCCTCCTCCTACTCCTACTTCCTACTCCTACCCCTACCCCTACCCCTACCCCTACTCCTGCTCCTACTCCTACTCCTGCTCCTACTCCTACTCCTACTCCTACTCCTACTCCTAACTGCTGCTGCTGCTGCCGCTGCTGCTGCTGCTACTACAATATCTACTGCTACTGCCGCTGCTCCTCCTTCTACTGCCATTACTACCGCCACCACCTCTACTTCTACTGCTGCTACTACTACGACGGAAACCAGCCCTGCCTCTACCATTACCATCATTCCCACTGTGACACTGCAGTTAAATTGCTAGGACTGCGAAGCTTGTTCTCTGCCTACATACCCGTTCCTCATCGCTCATCATATTTGACCGACTCTCCGCCAAACCCATGAAAGCAAAAGTCTGACTGTGGCTTTTGCAAGAGTTACAGTGGGCTGTCATGATGTATGCCTCGGGAGAACTATAGAAATCACATCTCCTTACAACTCTTAATACAGTCTTGCGGTAGCATCACCTAAACCCTAATCTCACCATTAACGCCCCCAGGTTATCACGAGTTGCCACAAAAAGCGTCTCCTGTGCGGCCGCCAGGTGTCCTGGAGCCGGTTTGGGAATTGAAATCTCGAGGTTTATAGCCTGGCTGGGATTGTGTATGCTCTCTTCTGCATTCCCAGTAGTGCTCGTACAATATGAGCAGGCATTCTCCGACGATTCAGCATTAAGAAGGAAACTCCAACATCAAAAGGGTGCGAATGGCTGCTTGAACCATCACGAACGACCTTTTCTTGCCACAGCTTCGGCTCAGTCTTGGATGAACAACCGAGCGTTGACCGCAACAGGTAGAGTTCTACCCGTCACTGAACACTCGGCATCATGCACTGCCCAAGGAACTTGCCATTCAGATTTAAAGGGATGTTTAGAACAATCGAGTATCAAACAATGCTCGGATACCTGACCCTCGGGCATCAACAGCGATGTGCTCAGAACTCATCGCCGTAACCTTCCTCCTCTCCCTCGCCCTCTGCTGTTTCGATGCCAACCTCTTCATAGTCCTTCCGGTGCCAAGCTTGTGCAACCCGGAACGCTAGAAGGAACATTCCAAGGCAAACGATCACCAAAGCTATCACGGGTCGATCCTCTTGGGCTTTATGCTTATGGGTAGGTAAAAAGCAAAGAACAATGCTGCATCTGTTCCTTCTCCAGAGCCGCCAAGTCTTCGCGAGCCTCAGAGAATTCGCCCTCTTCCATACCTTCGCCGACATAGTGGTGGACGAAGGCGCGCTTGGAGTACATGAGGTCAAACTTGTGATCGATGCGCGAAAAGACTTCGGCGATGGCCGTGCTGTTCGAGATCCTCAGCACGCACAATGTCTAAAGCCATCAAAGCATGCCCTGTAACGCACGATCACGGATGACTTACTTGGACACTGCGGCGACGGCCTTTGCGTCTAGACCTGCATCCACTTCTGCCGGGGTACATGCAGCAGGCGCGCATGACCTTGGCCAAATCACCACCGGGCACCACGGTCGGCGGCTGGTAGTTGATGCCGCACTTGAAGCCGGTGGGGCACCAGTCCACAAACTGGATGGTACGCTTGGTCTTGATGGTAGCCACTGCCGCGTTCACATCCTTCGGAACGACGTCGCCACCTGGGACCAGCACCCCAACAACTGCAGACCTCCGACATGCCGCGGCACTCGACGCAGAGTCGTATACTGGGTACTGCTCACACCAAAGCATGTTTACGAGTATGGTAGTATCACAACGTTGCTTTTGTGATACAGTACATTGTCGTGCACTGCAGGCTCGCGGACAACCTGTGGCAATTTAACATGTACCATCTTGTGGAACGGTCTGTCCGCGAAAGCAGGCATGATCCTGGGGGCTGCGCGGTACATCATGCAGCAGGCCATGTATTTGCCATGGCCTTGGTTGCTACATGCCTAACCGTGCTTCGTTCCAGAAACCATCCAAGAAACCCCTAGCAAACTGTTGCAGCTGCAAAGGCATAGCAAGGTCCTGCCACGTGGCGTGGATCGCACTTAACCATCATGGATGCCGGCTCGAAAACGGACATGGTGATCTCCGCCACGGACAGCTGCTCATGATAAGCCTTCTCAGCTGAGATGACCGGGGCATAGGACGTCAACATGAAGTGGATGCGGGGGTAGGGGACCAGGTTGGTCTGGAACTCCGTAATGTCCACGTTCAAGGCTCCATCGAAGCGCAGCGATGCGGTCAGACTGGAAATGATCTGAGCGATGAGGCGGTTCAGGTTGGTGTACGTGGGTCGCTCGATGTCCAGGTTCCTGAGAGGGCATATGCGGCAGCCGTCGAAAGTATGAAATACCCGGCGGCCCGGGTAAAACACTGGAATACACAACCTATCATATGACCCCATCAAACATGAAGCCAGCTTCCTGCGGCAAATGTCATACAACGCCTCGTTGTCATACCTCGGCTGGGTCTTGCATGTTCAGAGCTTGGGCTGAATACAAACTGAACATGAATAAGTTGCAAAGATCATTCGAGGCACATGATGGTCACATCGGTGTGCTCCAGGAGTGAATGGACGCACAAGACTGTGTTGTAGGGCTGTATAAGGTGTTGGTAACATCGTCAGTCGCACTTGGCTATAGTCGATCACCTGGCAGATTCAAAACCGAAAAAAGGCCGAGTGTGGGGACGCGACGACTCCCCAGAATGTGACCCCGCTATCGGGTCACCGTGTGGGGGCCGC